CTTTCTTTCTTTCTTTCTTTCTTTCTTTCTTTCTTTCTTTCTTTCTTTCTTTCCTTCTTTTTCTTTTTCTTTTTCTTTTTCTTTTTCGAGACAGGGCTTCTCTGTGTAGCTTGACTGTCCCGAAGCTTGCTCTATAGATCAGGCTGGCCTCACACTCTCAGAGATCCAGCTGCCCTTGCATCTGGAGTGGGATGAAAGGCCTGTGCCACCACCACCTGGCAGCAGTTCCCTTTAAAAGAGGAAAACCCAGCCATTCACTCACTGCCTGAGACATGATACCAATCTTAAAATTTCACAGCCAATTTACCAAGAGGCAGACCTTTCCAGATTAATTTAAAAGCACTTTAGCAGCACTCGGAAAGCAGAGGCAGACAGATCTCTTCGAGTTCAAGGCCAGCCTGGCCTACAGAGTTAGTTCTAGGGCATCCAGGGTTTCAAAGAGAAACCCCTGTCTAAAAAACAAACAAACCCCCCCCACCATCCCATCCAAAATAAAATCCAACAAATCAAACAAACAAACGAACAAACAAACAAAACACTAGGAGCAGGGAGTTATGGTGCATAATTATAATCTCAGCACCTGGGGGGCAGAGGAAGGCAGATGTGAGTCCGAAGCCACGCTGGTCTACATAGCAAGTTCCAGGCCAGTCAGGGCTATATAGTGAGAACGTGTCTGAAAAAAGTACCTCAAGGCCAGGTCAGCAGGTAAAGGAGTGTGCTGCCAGTGTTCAGGGCTTGAGTTTGATCCCTGACTTCTGTAAGTTGTCCTCTGACTTCCTTCCACACACTCCACAAAACAAACAAACAAACAAACAAACAGGAAAAAAAAACCTTTAGGAACGAGGCTCTTATTTTATCACATATAAGCTCTCAAAAAGAGCCCCCCCCCCCAAAAAAAAAAAAACCTAATAAAAATGTCCTTCAGTTTCAAACTCAATGATCTCAAAGCCAAAACCGACACCAAAAACTACGTTCATCCAGCTGGAGAGATCGATCAGTGGTTAAGAACACCGGCTGCTCTTGCAGGGGGCAGCTATCTGTTCCAGGAGCCTTGGCGCCCTCCTCTGGCCTCTGCCAGCATCAGCCATGCCAACAGTATACATACATAGGCAGAACACTCATACACACAAAATGCAAATAATAATAATAAAAACCCTTACATCTATCAAGTCCATCAGGACAGAGCCTCTCCTTAATATACACAAACTGAAAACGACTCTGAGGTTACTAAGTTAGGGCTTTCCCAAAGTGTGCTAAATAATAATACCCTGCTGTGTGTTATAAAAAGGGACAAAATGAAGTTAGGAAAATGCTGGCCTCAGGCGTGGTCATGCACACCCCTCATGCCAGCACTTGGAAAATTAATTCGGGAAGATCACTGCAAGTTTGAGGTAGCCTTGTGTATGTAGCAGGTCCAGGCCAGCCAGAGCTACATAGTGAAACCCTATACCTACCCACCAAAACTGCTGTGGCTGGAGAGATGGCTCAGCAGTTAGGAGTGGTTGGTGCTCTTTCAGAAGATCTGGGTTTGGGTTGGGTTGCTAGCATCCATGATGGGCTGCTCACAGTCACCTGTGATTCTGGCCTTAGGAGGAATATCGCATCCTCTTCTGGCCTTTGAGGGTACTTGCACTCACATGTGCTTATCACCGAATAGACATACACACAGACTCATAATTTAAAAAAAAAGATACAGGGTTTTCAGGCACAGCAGCGCACACCTGTAATCCCAGTCCTGGGAGGCAGAGGCAAGTGGATCTCTGTGAGTTCGAAGCCAGCCTGGTCTACAAAGCAATTCCAGGACAGCCAAGGCTACGCAGAGAAACCCTGTCTCAAAAAACACAACAACAGCTACAAACAAGGTTTCACCTGGCCTGGAAAGCCTGGAACAGATTGGCCTGGAACTCACAGAAATCCAACTGCCTCCTAAGTGCTGGGATTAAAGGCTTGTGCCATGCAAGGCTAAATGCATTTCTTTGTTATATATATTACTTTTTTTTTAGGGGAAAGGGGGAGTTCAAGAAAGGGTTTCTCTATGTAGCCTTAGCTGGCCTGGAACTAGCCCTGTAGACCAGGCTGCCCTCAAACTCAGAGATCTGCCTGCCTCTGCCTTCTGAGTGGTGGGATTAAAGGCGTGTGCCACTGCCTCCAGGCTCCTCTTAAATGATTTTGTATTGTGATATACATTCAAAAATCCAACGAAAGCCCCATCAGATAGGGAGCATGCTGATATATATCGTGTTTCTACTTAAAAAAACTTCAGTGTTTTTAGTATTTAGTATGTGTGTGTGTGTTGGGGGTATGTGTGCCACGGTACACATGGAGTTGGTGTTCTCCTTACACATTTACATGGGACCCAGGGATTGGATTTAGTGATGAGCACTTTATCGTAGGGGCCATCTATCAGCCCAGGTA